CAAATCCCGGCTTCAGCTTCCTCGGTTTCTGCTATTTCGGCGCTGCCGCGAATAAACTCCCCGAAGATCGGGAGCTTCGGAAGCGGCAAATCCTTGACAACTTTTATAAAATTTACAGGGATGGTGTGCTTGATCGCGAGGAGGGCCCTGCCGAGAAGAAGATGCGGCGCGAGGCGGAGGAGATGCGGCGCGTGGTCGAGGAGATGCGGTGTGAGGCAAGGGAGGAGAAGAAGATGCGGCGGTTTTAGAAGATAAATAAGGGTGTGTTGGAGATGAAGAAGATGGAGCTTGTTAGTGAGGGTCCATTGGAGGAACATAGTGAGGCTAAGGACATGCTTAACATTCAGGGTTAGGTTGATTTTTTTAGTTGTAATTGACTCAGAACACCTGCTTAGGGATATTTTGATTGCCTTTAGTTTTCAGTGTTTTTTTGCCATGATGCATCAAGACCAAAATCACTGTATTTTTTCTGCATTCTAATTATTGAAAGTGATATGAAAGATGAAGATGAGCTTCCATTATATCTTAATTTGCTCAGTTAATCTGTTTCCCGTTAATGTTTAGTTATAAGGAGGATAATGATAACCATTATAGTTATAATCAGTTTCTATTACTCTTGATTATTGATTGACCATTTTGTAAATGATGATTTAATACATTTTTAGTTTCTTATAGCATGAGCTTTCGTATCTCATATATAGGATCATACTTAAAATGGTTCAGTGCCAGATTGATGGGTTTCTGTTGTTGGAAAGTTTTTTTCTTGTTGAACCTTATTACTGGCCTGAAAGTCTCCTAATATATGTGATTCTACTCCAAAATGTCACGATTAGAGTTTAATGGCTGATAGTGGCGTATGTATTAGCAGCCTTGAAATGGGCAAAAGCAGACCTAAAGGTATCCTCTCTGTACTTAGTACGAGAATTGCTCTCATCCTTGTCCTCGCTAGTTGTAGTTTAATGGGGAGTGATTTTGTTTTATATTCTATTGTTTTGAGGCTCTAAGATTATTGTGGTTAATTTTATATCGATATATTCGTATTCCCTTTTTAGTGGTTACTTTTGATTCTAGTAAAGAAAAGATACTCAGGAACTACAAAGAATTATCATTTATGCACATGGAAAACTTTTTTAATAGCTAGGGTGTATATTCGAGAGATTTTCTACGGAGTTGAAATGTATTAGAAGCATAATACAGCACTGTATTCTAGAATAGTTAGGAAGAACTGTGCTTTATGGAAGAGATCCCCTCCCCTAATCAACTGCCGATAAATCAAGGCCCAACCTAACTGTAAGCCCTTATTAATTAAGGCTTGTGACGCGTACCACCAATAAATCAGTGGACAATTATGCCAAGAAAGTTGTGTTTTGGGCTAACTGCATTGTGCTTACGTTATTATTCTTTCTGGAACCATATAATTTCTCTGCTGATCTGCGCCCAATGAATTAGGATGCTGTCTTTTTCCTTTCATACAAACAAAAGATTTCCCTTACTTTTTGTATGAACAAAAGAACTCCTAATTGAAGGCTGCGTTTGAATGACAGGTACTGTTTTTCTGAGGGCTGGTGCAAATGTCAACTGAACTGGCTCTTTAATGTTCATATTTTGGACGAGTTCTTTCATTGTAAGTTGTCTTTGATTTCTTTCCTGTTGCCTTAATAGGTAAAGGACTTATACAACCTTACGCTTCACCGTGCTTATTTAACTATTAGATTAGGTTTCATTCAGTTCTGTGAAATGTGAACATATATTAACCCCGTAAGTTTGAGTCACCAAAGATTTTACTATCATTTGTTCATTCTTGGTTCTCCCCATCTTTTTCTTCAAAATTGTTCTGTTTCTATTTCTACTAACCATAATTACATTATCCTTTTAAAAATCAAATGACCAAGTGAATGAACCCAATTGCCTGAAAAACCAACATTTACTTCTGGATGAGGCCTTTTTGACAGTTAGTACTTTAGCAATATAGGTATCAAGAGCTGATAAATGTTAAACGACTTTAAAATCATAATTATCAATATTTGACTTGACTGCTTTCAGCCATTGCTCAAGTGACTTCATCTTTAAACGCCAACTTATGCATGAGTAATCACTTTCATCACACTACAATACTTTCATTTTTAGAGGCCTTCAACAATAATGTTAGTGTCGTATACTTCGGCCAGGCATTAAAATTGATGCAACCCGGCCAATTTTGATGAAAAACGGTGACCCAACCCGGTTCATTAAAAAAATTTCAAAGAAAAAAAAAACTTGAAGGATATTTTTTTTTAAATTCACAAATAGTTTGTTTGTTTTTTTTGAAATGTTTGAGTGATTTGTTATTTATTGACTTATATAGATTATGTATCTATATAAAGAACCATTTCAACCTAAAAACTTAAGCTGTTGGTGAGGTTATCTTAATGGTTTAATGTATCTCTAACACGTCCCCTTACACGAGAACACACTGGGCTCGAAAGGTGGACAATGCATAGCCCTACCTACCTGTGCTAAGGAACTTCACAAGATTTAATTAATTATTAATTAAATGCGGTATTGAGAATCGAACCCGTGACACCGATGCTCTGATATATCATGTAAAGAATAATTTCAATCCAAAAACTTAATTTATTGGGTGAGATTAGCTTAATAGTTTAATATATCTCTAACAACCTAAAACACTAATACCATCTTGGTTATGCACTATATGCAAGGAATTTTGATTTAATATATAGTTAGAGATGACGTCTACTGAACATTAATCACTAGTATCACAAGTATTATATGTTTGTTTGATTCTTTATTGGATAATAATATGTGATTTATTTTTTTTTTATATTAAAATATTTGAAATTGGTATTATTTTTTACAAGTATTTAAATATGTTTATAATTTTTTTAACATAAATTATAAATTTGCATATATTTATCAGATCATATGGTTAAATTAGTGACCTACTAATTAAACTAGTGACCCAGTACCTCGATCAGGTCAATCAACCAGATTTAATAAGATTTCTTTTTACTAAGAGAAGGCTGGGATAAGGTGAACAGAACTTACCCTGAAAAGATCACCCCTCAAAGATAGAACAAACATGGAACTTCCAAAGCTTTCTCCTTGGACAGAAGTAAACAAGTAAATTTAATACAATGGAACAAGGATTCAATGAAATGAAAGCACAGTAATCAGATATCAATTATTTGTGTTCCTTTCTAAGCTGGCTCTTCAGACATCACTTTTTGATACAAAAATATGGGAGGGAATATAAACATACATGTAAAGGTTGAAAAGTGCAGACTAGCTTAAAAAACGGGACAGTCCTATTATATAATTAAATATTTCCTTCATATTCTGTGTGAAGGTATGCAATAAGCAATTTACGCTCTCTCTCCTTCTCTTTTTTCGATTCATTTCTCTCTCTCCCCCTCTCTCTCTCTCATTATGCAGATTTATTAATTACACAAATCTCGTCCAGCAAGTAAAGCATGTCAATTCGGTGATTGATGTATCTCCAGGGATATACCTCTCAGGCGCCTCCCTGTTTGAGCACAGCAAACACAGACAACATGTTCATCGGTGCCCCCACTCATAATGTACTCCCTCCCATTCAAGTAATAACAATATGTGAAATTTGTAGAACTTCCGGTGGAAGCTATATCAAAATCCAAATGAAGCCTGCCGTCAACAGCCACAAGTTGTTTAACCTGACAAAATTTACATGTTAGTGTGGACATTAACAATGTGTTGTCAAGATAAAATTTTCCAAACAAGGAGAAAGACAAGCAAGTTAGGCAATCAACGGAAATACTGTATATAGATAACAAGAATCTGATGGAAATTTTTCCTAGCTTTAAAGCTGAATCAGATTTCACAGGCGTGCGTGGCCTATCCCATTACTTTCACTTTGCATGCACTGACCAGTAACTGTTGAAATATAATATTTGAATTTCAAATTATGTATTGTTAGGCTGTTTTAGTTTGTTAGGCTGTTGTTCAGTGATTGATTGTACAAAAATTAGATTAGATAAATTAGTTTCCTACTTATTAGAAATTAGTTGACTGACCTGATGTATAAAAATAACCCTCATTGAGGTGAAGTAATGCAGATTGTGAATGAATTTATTATGTATCTGTTTTGTAACATGGTACCATAAGCCTAGGTTCTAAATAAATTTTTTGAGAAAAGTGTCAAAAAAAAATTTCCTTTTCGGTTTTTTGCTTCCCACCATCGAGCCCATTACTGTTCATGCAACCCAATTTTTTTTTTCTTCTTTCGTTTCTTCTCTCATGGAAATTGCACCCCCACATTCGAACCCCTCCTCCCCTGAAACCAACCCTAACTCCAGCAACACAACACCTATCATCATTCATCAAGATTCATCTTCCTTCCCTGTTTCCATCATCCTTGATGAATCCAATTACCCTATATGGTCCCAACTGATGGACATGCGGATCGGAGCCCGTAACAAAACCGATTACCTCACCGAAACGAAATCGAAAATGCCTCCCACTAATCCCACCTTCAATACTTGGGTCACAGAGAACAAGAAGGTTAAGAGTTGGCTCGTTGATTCTATGAGTCCTTCTCTCATGCCTCGGTTCCTCCGTTTGGATGCTGCATCAGAGATATGGGAGGCTTGCAAACGCACATACTAGGACGTCCGCTAGTAACATACTACAATGATCTCCTTGCAATTTTTCAAGAAATTGATCACCGAATGGCATCCCAGGCATCTACCGTCGACGGAGTCGTCCATCTTTATTCTGCCATGGTTCGCCTCAGAGTTCACATCTTTCTCAGTGGATTGGTCTCTGAATTTGACATCCTTTGAGGAGAAATCCTTCACAAGGAACCGAAGCTTGATTTGGAAGGATCTTATGCATTTGTTCGCCGCGAAATCAATCAATGCAACACCTTAGTTTCTTCTCGGCCCTCTCCGGAATCCACCGAATTGCTGACTCTTCCTTCTGGCCCTTCGAAGTCTCGTAAGTCCTCTTCCTCTTTCTCTGGAAAAATGGCTCAATTTTCTTACACTCACTGTTGGGCTACTGGTTACTCCAAGAAAAGATGCTATGAGATTATTGGTTATCCCGAATGGTGGGATTTCAATAAACAACCGCACCGGAAGGTTCCTGCCACTGCCAATGCTACTGCTGCTGCTACGGTTGCAATACCTGCCTCACCCGCTACCATGTTGCTCATCAGGGTAACGTTGGTAACACTCTTGCTTTATCTACATTTACTAGAAATCATACTTGGGTAATTGACACTGGTGCATCAGATCATATGATTAGAGATTCCTCTGAATTACATAATTGTGAACCTTACATTTTACCTTTTATCTCCCCAGCAAATGGAGAAACTTCTCCTATCACTGGCCAAGGATCTCTTTCCTTATCCCCCCATTTATTCTTGGACTCAATATTAGTTGTTCCCTCTTTAGAATTTATCCTCTTATCTGTTTCACGTATTACTGCCTCCTTGAACTGTACTGTTATTTTTTGGCCTGATTTTTGCTTCTTTCAGGACATCTCAACTCGGATGACAATTGGTTATGGTGTTAGACGTGAAAAGCTCTATTTTCTAGATTCAAATCACGTTTGTGTCTCCTCTGTCGAGTCTTTCAATACTACTGCTAATAAAGCTTCCTCCTATGTTTGGTTGTGGCATCATAGATTAGGACATCCATCTTTAACATATTTAGAAAAGTTATTTCCCCAAATGTTTTCCCATCTGAATAAGGCTAATTTTAAATGTAACACATGTGAATTGGCCAAGAGCCATAGCGTATCCTACCTTCCAAGTATCAATAAAAGCATAGTTGTCAATAGCGGTGGGTAGCGGCGCTAAACCGCTACAGTAGCGGGTAGCGGCGGCCGGCCGCCACAACCTGCGACGCGACGCGACGCCGGCCGGTAGCGGAGGTGGCGGCGTAGCGTAGCAGTTCTCACAGTCGAAGAAGATGAACACTACAGGACGCTACGGGAAGGAGAAGACCTATTTTTTTTAATTTGATGCTTCAAACCAAACGACGTCGTTTTCCTTTGCATTGGGGGGTATTTTTGTCAAGAGAAAAAGTTTATTATTAAGTTATACATAAAGGACCCATTATCACCACATAACACGCGGGAAAGAAGAAAGAAAAACGTGGCAGGGTGGCACCAAAGGAGGAGAACGATGGAGTTGCAGTAGAAGCCAAGGTGTTTCTTTTTTTCTGTTCCTTCCTTCTTCCACTCTTCTCCGGCAAGAGAGCTTCTATTTTCCGGTAAGTTCTCAACATTTTGTGGCTTCTTTGTTCCTTCCTCCTTCCTCCTTCCACTCTTCACTCTTCACTCTTTCTTTTATCTTCACTACCCATTCTTCTTCTTTGATGGAGGCTTCTTCTTTCTTTTTCTTTTTTACTTATTTTTTGCTTATTTTTTTTTTGGGTACTTCTGGTTTTATTTTTACTTATTCTTTCTTGTGATTTTTTTTTTTGTAAACTTTCTTTCTTGTATTTTCGGTAAGGTGCCACTTATGGTTTTATTTATTTTGCTTATTTTTTTTTTTGGGGTAGGCTACTGCAGTTTTTTTTTAATATATGATGCATATTTTTTTTATTTTTGTATATATAAATACTGGGTATATAAAACCAGAACATATTTATATGCAGTTTTTTATTTTTGTATATATAAATACGTTGCATTTTTTTTTTTTAATTTTTGGTAAGCAATACGTTGCAGTTTTTAATATATATGCATCACTCATATTTATATACCCAGTATTTAACTGGTAAGAGTTACAGTTTTTAATATATATGCATCACTCAAGTTAACAAATACGTTGCAGTTTTTTTTTAATTTTTGGTAAGCAATACGTTGCAGTTTTTAATATATATGCATCACTCATATTTATATACCCAATATTTAACTGGTAAGAGTTACAGTTTTTAATATATATGCATCACTCAAGTTAACAAATACGTTGCAGTTTTTTTTTTAATTTTTGGTAAGCAATACGTTGCAGTTTTTAATATATGTTTATTTTTGTGTATAAATCCAGTTAACTCCATGGCTAGTGCATCTTCTGTTGATGCATCACCTTCGATTCCACAAACTGCACCTTGTGGTTTGTTTAAACCCACTGGAGATAACATTGATATTGCATGGAAATGGAATAGCTTGAAGGACCCCAATAACAGGAGATTCGTAACTTGTGATTATTGCCTGCAAACTACAAAGGGAGGAATAACTAGAGCCAAAAGACATCAGATTGGTTTGAGAGGAGATGTTCAGGCATGTAGAAAAATTCCAGCTGATGTTAAAAAAATACTGAAGGATGCATATATGCTGAAACAAGCTGAAAAAGATGCTAATATGGTTGATCTTGATGTCAATCAAGATGATGATGTAGAAGAGCAGGTTAAAATTCATAATATCAAAACTGGAAAAAGAAAAAGAGCTGGAAGTGATGTCTCTACCCCTGCTACAAAGGCTGTGAAAGGTCCTTTAGATTTGCATTTTTTTAAAAGGCCTAGCATAAAGTTGGACAAAAAGCAAACAAGCATAAATAATGCTTGTGACAAAGAGGCAAGGGCAAGAACCATTCAGTACATAGAAAGATTTTTGTGTACAAATGGATTACCATTTAATGTTGTACGCTCAAGAAGCTTTAAGCTAATGATTGAAGCTGTTGGAAACTATGGTCCACACTTGAAGCCACCAAGCTACCATGAGTGCAGAGTTCCTCTTCTTAAAAAAGAGATGGAGTATACAAAAGAGTTATTAAAGGATCATGAGGTACAACGAGCCACTTATGGATGTTCGATTATGTCGGATGGGTGGACGGATAGAAAGAATAGGACCTTGATTAATTTCTTGGTCAATTGTCCATCAGGGACCATGTTCATGAAGAGTGTTGATGCTTCATCTTATGTTAAGACTGGGGAAAAAATATTTGAGCTTTTGAACACGTTTGTTGAAGAGATTGGAGAAAAGAATGTTATTCAAGTTGTGACAGATAACAGAAGTAATTACGTTTTAGCTGGTAAGAGTAAGACATCAAACTTGTTAATTTGTTAAATTGTTTTCAATTGTTGTTAATTTGTTCTTGATTATTTTTTTAGGAAAGTATTTGCAAGCCAAGCGGCCAAATTTGTTTTGGACCCCATGCACAACACATTGTTTGGATTTAATGTTGGAAGACATTGGAAAGATTGAGAGGGTTAAGAGAGCCATTGGAAAAGGCATAAAACTTGTAGGTTTCATATACAACCATTCATTGGCTTTGAACACAATGAGAAGGTTTACAAATAAGACCGAATTGGTTAGGCATGGAGTCACAAGGTTTGCTACGACATTCCTTACATTGCAAAGGTTGCACAAACAAAGAAAAAACCTTAGGAACATGTTCATTTCTGAGGATTGGGAGAATTCCAAGGAATCCAAAGACCCCAAGGGGAAAGTGGCAAGAAGGACTGTACTTATGCCTGCCTTTTGGAATGATGTTTTTTTCTCACTTAAGGTTATCGGGCCTCTTGTGCGTGTGCTTAGACTTGTTGACAATGAGAAAAAACCTGCAATGGGCTATATTTATGAGGCAATGGATAGGGCCAAGGAGGCAATTCAAAAATCATTCGGTGGAGATGAACAAAAGTACAAAGACATATTTGCTATTATTGATAGAAGATGGGAATGCCAACTTCATCATCCTTTGCATGCAGCGGGCCATTATCTAAATCCTGAATTCTTTTATGGCAATGATTCAATTGGAAATGATAGAGAAGTGATGGTTGGCCTTTTCAAATGCATTGAAAGGCTAAGTGCAAATGAGGCAGAAAATGATACAATTACAATGCAATTAGAATCATATAGGACTGCTGAAGGCCTCTTTGGTATCAAGTCAGCAATAAGGCAAAGGACTTTATTAGCTCCAGGTTAGTAAACATGAATTTCAAGTTATTAATTATATAGGACTGCTTAAGGCCTCAATATTGTTATTAATTATTAATGCTAAGTTTTTTGGCATTATAGCTCAATGGTGGAAGTTGTATGGCTCTCAAACTCCAAATTTGAGAGACTTTGCCATTAAGGTGTTGAGTTTGACTTGTAGCTCATCCGGGTGTGAGCGCAATTGGAGTACTTTTGAACACGTAATATTTTCCATATAGTTAAATTTGATGTATGGCTTATGAAGCGAAGAAACTAATATTTTTTATTGTTAATTATGAAATAGATTCATTCCAAAAAGAGAAGTAGGCTTGAGCATCAAAAGTTGCAAGATTTGGTTTTTATTAAGTACAATCAAGCTCTTAAACATCGCTATGACAGTCATGATGTGATTGATCCCATCATCCTAAAAGACATTGATGATAACAATGAGTGGTTGGTGGGAGAAGTGGGTGAAGATAATGCTGAAGATGAGAATATTTTTTATGATGATACTTTGACTTTGGGAGTTGTTGCTGATGCAAGTGGGATTGGAGAGCCTCTGACATACACAAGGCTGTAGACAAGAGGAACAAGAATGGTTAACCAAGTTGTACCTTCAGTTTTAAGTGAAGATGAGGAAGAGAAAATCTATAAGCTTAGTTCAAGTGAAGATGAGATTGAGGGAGAAGATGTTTTGGAATTTGATGGAGAATCCGGAGATGATGATTTTCTTCATTAGTTCATTTGTGTTTTATCTGACTATATCATTTTGCCAGTATAGCTTGTGCACTTTTTTGGATGCAAGTTTGTGCATTTTTTTGGATGCAAGTTTGTGCATTTTTTTGGATACAAGTTTGTGCAGTTTTTTGGATACAAGTTTGTGAACTTTTAATGTAAAGAACCCTTTCTGCACTTTTAATATAATGAATTGTTTCTTGAATGTTATTGATTGTTTCACATACACTTCAGTTCCAGCTCACAAAGCATTCTAAAGGCTGATGTTAATATTCACATTTACAACAACAAAAAAAAAAAATTAATATGTCACAGTCCCTTCCTTCCCTTTTACGTGTTGTGCAGCTGATTAAATGCCTATGCCACTCTCCCTCACTTGTAGGTTGTGCAATGCCTACATACAAACAGCCACACAATCACAATATAATATGCAATAAGTACACAAAACAATATGCATGACATATATAACTAGAGCATGGGTGGACTAATAGTTGAGCATTTATATTAGTTAAGACTGTTCTGTTAATACTTCACCGTAGCGGCAATACCGCTACCCGCTACACCGCTATACCATTTTTGGGGTCGGCCGCTACCGGCCGCTAACTGCTATTGACAACTATGAATAAAAGTAGTGTTCCATTTCAAGTGATTCATTCGGATGTTTGGGGTCCCTCTCGGGAACCCTCTTTGTCTCATGCACGATATTTTGTAACGTTTATTAATGAGTGTACTTGTATGACTTGGTGTGTATTTTGACAACCAAAAGTGAAGTTTTTAATGCATTTAAACTTTTCCACTCTTTGATCCTCACTCAGTACAACTCTAACATTCAGATTCTACAAACAGATAACGGAACAGAATATACCAACCATACATTTACCTCTTTTTTGCTTGACAATGGCATCAAACATCAAACATCATGCACGTATACCCCACAACAGAATGGTCTAACTGAAAGGAAAAATAGACACTTATTAGAAGTTGTTAGAGCTTCCATCTTAGGAATGCATGTTCCCAAACGCTTTTGGGGAGAGGCAGTCCTCTCCGCTGCCTATCTAATCAATAGAACACCTTCTAATGTCCTTGGTTTCAAAACCCCTAAACAAACACTTGAATCCTTCTTTTCTATCCCTCATGTTTCAAATTTGGTCCCAGATGAACTCAAGAGGAGGTGAATTGAGTTTTAAAAATTAATTCACTAATTAAAAATTAACTCAAAGCAATAAATCGAGATAAGGATAGATAGATATTAACACAATAGTTTTTACATGGAAAACCCAAAGAGAAGAAAAATCACGGGACCTAAAATCGAATACTGAAATCCAACAGGCAACTCCACTATGAAACTTGTGTACAAAGAGTTCTCTAGTATCTCAGTTTCCTAGTCTACCCCTTACACAAATTCCCAAACTGGTATCCTAGTTTTTCAGTTCGAAACCCTAACCCTTTAGGATTCTGAAACCCTATCACACAAGGGTTCTCGAGTTACCCTCAATTTCTAAGAAAAAGAGACATGCTGGTATCCCATCACAAGAACTGGTATCCAAGTTTCCCAGTACAGACCTTCAAAAAAGTCAAGAAGAAAATTACAATTAAAGTGATTTACCTCAGTGCTTTTTTTCCTTAAGCAGATAGGTAATCTGAATTCCTATGGAGAAATATTCACTTTGCCAAAGGATGAATGTATGAATGAATGTTCTTGAGAAAGCTCTTCAACTGATGCAGAAGAAAGAATCCTAATCTTGAAAATCTAATTCTCTCTTTTCTTTCTTGTATATTCTTCTCTCTCTTGTATTTTATCCTCTCTGAACAATATGCAATGAGCCCTATTTATAATAATAACATCATAATCTATTATGCAATGCAATCCTAATCAAATCTTTGACAAAGAATATTTTATTTCTCTTACATGAAATCTAAAAAGATAAAATCTATCCTAATCTTTAATTGATTCCATGCTTTTCTATCTCTTCATTATATCTTCCATATCTTCTCCAATCTGCATGCAATCTTCAATTATCTTCAATTGATCACATACTTTTCTCTCTCTTCATAATATCTTCTCCAAAATAATACAAAGAATATTATGCAATGCAATCCTAATCAACATCATAAATTGTGACACACCCTTAACAAAAAAAAAATTGTCCCAACTGAATATCTCTGCGGGAGAATTTTTTTTTGCTTGCGGAAATGATATTCCCATAAAAAATATCCCTTTTATTAAATGCAAAACCGTAGATAACACACAAATAAATATCATACAAATTAAATTATGTAGTGACTGAGCCACTTGGGCTATATTGTTTTATTTGTATTATTTCTCTGTTTTGTTCACGAATAAGCATCAAACTCAACCTTATTGAGGCATTTATGAACAAAACTGAAACCAACACTATTAATAAATAAAAGATTAATATGAAAATCAGCCGGGTTTGATAAGAAAATATGAGTAGATTTCTTACTTTGTGAATTAAAAACACCATGTCCATAACTACATCATATAATTCAAGTGCATAAGCCGCATGGGGCTCAAAAGAAAATTTAAGAGGGAGTTCTTTTGGTGTTATCATTCCCAAAATTTCCCTCTCTGCACAAGTATGGCAAAATAAAACCCCCATTCAAAATATTAAATATCTACATCAATTTCCAACAAGATTTAATATATATATATATATATGTATATAGGGCTTAACATTTCTGCAGCAGCCGTAGATAGTGTTATCTACAGCTGACACAGAAAAGTGAGCCCCACGGCTTTAAAAAAAAAAACTCAGGATCTGTTGCCGTATCCTAGGATTCGGACGTGGATCCTTGCTTGCTGTAGGTACAGCAGCTGCAAAAATCATTTTGCCATATATATATATATATATATATATATATATATATATATATATATATATATAAGAAGTCTTACATTTATTCTTAGTCATTGATCCACTTGTATTTAATGATTCACATAATAAAAAAAAACATAAACCTAAAAGATATAAGTGAGATGGACATCAAGATTGAGAGTGTAACATATACTGATGTAAAATGATTCAAAGTCTTGTTTTTATTCTTAGTACTTGGTTCATTTGTATCTAATGACTCACATAATCTAAAAAATAAAATAAAGCTATTAGATATAAGTAGAATTAACTGTTAATATTGAGAGTGTAACTTACATAGATATAAAATGATTCAAACTATATATATATATATATATATATATATATATATATATATATATATATATATATATATATATTAAGTGTTTGGGCTCTTTGACCTATTGGGATTTTTTGAGATTTTAATTTATCAATCTAGTATTTCATTTACGATATTTACCAACGGGAGTCGTTCAGTGACGCGAGGGGGACCAAACGTCCCTGAGTGCAGCGACCCTCCCCCTGCGTCACTCACACATTCTTTTTTTTTCTTTTTCTTTTTTCAATTGAATGACGCCCTCCTCTCCTTGGGCACTCATAGGATTGTGCCAAGTGGCACAATCTCGTTAATCTCGTTACCGTAAAACTTCGGAAAGCCATAACTTTTGGCTTGGGTATCCAAATCAGATGATTTTTTTTAATTCAGATACTTTTTTGAGATCTACGCAATGACACCTCATTTGACATATTTTATCTTCCATTAACATAGTTCCAATTTGCAACAATAGTTCCACTTTTTTACAAATTCGAACTATGTTTGTGAGAGATAAAATATGTCAAATGAAGTGTCATTGCGTAGATCACGAAAAGTTATGTGAAATAAAAAAATCATCTGATTTGGATACTCGAGTCAAAAGTTATGACATTCTGAAAGTTTACAGTAACGAAACTAAAGAGATTGTTCCACTTAGCACAATCCTATGAGTGCCCCAAGGGAGGGGGTGTCACTCAATTGAAAAAATAAAAAATAAATAAAAGAATGTGTGAGTGACGCGGGAGGAGGGTCGCGGCACTCAGTGCCGCTGGGTCCCCCTTGCGTCACTCAATGTCCCCTATTAGTAAATACTGTGAATCAAAAATCAGATTAAAAAATCAAAGTGGTAAAAACCCCAAATGGGTCAAAGAGCCTTGGAAAAGTTCATTTTTTCGATGGAATTTTTCCGTCGAAAATGGTGAAAATTCCGTCTAAATTTGTATTTTCGACAAAATTTTTGACGGAATTCAGGCCGTGGAATTTTCCTTTGTTGATAACAATTTTTCGACGGAATTAAAAATTTCGTTGAAAATTTTTGACGGAATTAAAAATACTTTTCGACAGAAAATCAATGAAATTTCGTCGAAAATTGTTATAATGGTTTTCGACTAAAAATGAACTCCGTCGAAAATTTTCGACGAAAAATCAATGAAATTTCGTCGAAAATTGTTGTAATGGTTTTCGACGGAAAACGGTTTCGGTCAAAAATTATAGAATTTTTTTTTTAAATTCTCTTTACAAAATTAATACCAATTTCTATACTTTACATGATAAAAAATATAATCAAAGTAAATAACATATCAAAATGAAATCTTAATCAATTTAGTAAATGCATAAAAGTCCATATTATATATTAGGCTAAGTATGAAAAAAGACTTATACAATTAACGAGCGGTGTACAATTAGTATAAATTGTAACATGTATAAAATAAAATAAAAAAATTAACATATTAATACACAATGTAAAACTGACTTCATAATTCAACGAAACAATTTGCTCTTAGTCATTTTTGAACTTCATATTCCGTCGAAAATTTTAGAAATACAATTTTTTTTGATTTATTTTTTATAAAGTTTTCGACAGAATGAATTTTTCGTCGAAAAATTCAGAAATATAATTTTTTTTGATTTATTTTTTATAAAGTTTTCGACGGAATTATTTTTTCGTCGAAAATTCACATATATATTTTCTTTTTTATTTATTTTTTATAAGATTTTTGACGGAATTCATTTTTCGTCAACAAAATTCGACGGAATCGATTTTCCGTCAAAAATTAAGACTTTTCTAGTAATGTTAGTGTTTGTCCTTTTAACGAACATAGAATTTTGTCTTTTTAGTTAAAACTACTATGTTTATAATGACAGAAAAGAAATCATGATGAGAAAAAGTGGAAGGTTTGTTTTCAATTTAAATATTAAATAAAAAGTAATAATATTTATTAAAATGACTGTCCTTTGAAAGGACAAATATTTTTTCCATATATATATATATATATATATGGGTTTGATGTTTGTCATTTTAAATGACATAAAGCTATATAGACACAAAGAATGGAAATTATGAGAGAGAAAGTGGGTGAGTTTTTTTTAATTTAAATTTTAAATAAAAAAATATTATTTTGTGTCTATCTCTCTCCTAAAATGACAAACACTTTTTCCTATATATATATGGCTTTGTGGGGTTTTTATTATGTGTGTGTGTGTGTGGCTTTAATGTTTCTACCAGTGAATGTCGATAAATTATCTGTATTCATTCCCAAAACGACATCATTTTGTGTTAAAAATTTATAGTAAGAAAGACTATTATAACCCTGAAATAAATTATAATTACAAAAATAACTTGATTTTTGCCTTAAAACGACGTCATTTTGGGCTCAATGTAAATAACTTATCTACATTGACTGCAGAAAAAATATATATATATATAAATATATAAAAATCATTTATATTTTAATAGATACAACGAATGATCAACCTAAATTAGTGTAAGAATAATACTTTTACGTCCAATTTTAAATGTTTATTTACTTATATCTAAATATTCTAATTTATTAGTTTTGTGAGCTATTGAATATAGGAAAATATAAGTATTATGTGGTAGGAATAAGATTTTTGTCCTGCAACCTACTTTTAATTATGTATTTTCGGAGAGTAGATAGTTATAATATTAAAGTTTTTTTTTCTCCTTTATATTAAAAAAAAATAACTTTAATATTATAACTATGTATTCTCGAATTATATAGTTAAAAACGGATTACAGGACAAAAATGATATCCTATAACGAGACATCCGACGGACCTGAAATATAAGTGAAATAAAAAATTAAAATTAAAAATAAAACTTATATTGGTAAAAAAATAAGGGAAAAGTTATACTTATCTGTTACCACCAATTAAATATATCACATTTACATCCAAATTAATGATCGTTACATCAATTTTTGATCTAATAACTCTATATCTCTAGGTTGGGTCACTGCAAGAACTTGGGCGTTCAGATCCTTTTTGTTGTAGAGTTCATAAGTTGGTCAACCTTTGTACGTGGTATGCAAGGATTCTGAAACCAAACAATCCCATCATAATTCTCAAAACCGTTTTTGTCAAAAATTCTGAAATTTAACTTTTTCGCAATCCCTTTTCAAACAATTGCACTATTAGTTTTTTTTTTTAAAAAAAACCTGCAAAACTAAAATTTCAATCATATTTTCAAAAAAAAAAAAAATTGTCGTATGATCCAAATTTGAATCAGTTATTGATTCAAACCTAACTGATTCAAATCCAGAACCCACTTTTTTATTTTAAATTTAAAAAATTATTGATACAAAACTTATTATTATTTTTTTCTAATTCAATGATAATTTGATCATGGCCTTTCTTTACATTTGAAAGGATTTGTGATTTCGTAGCATTTCATAGCAGCATTTTATTTTTTATTTTTTTATTTTTGGTGAAAGATATTTTTTATTTTTTATTTTATACGGAAAAGGGAATTTGCAAACCTAGAGAGAGTAGAGAAGAAGAGAGAGGATGAAGAGTAAAGAATTTAAAATTATAAAAATTGATTGTCAGCAATTATATCTAAAATTGATCTAACAATTATTAATTTAATTATAAAAGTGATAAATTTAATTGGTTATAAATATAATATTCCCATAAAATAATTCTTCCCTACTATATATTATATATTTTTAATATTACAATAAAAAAAATTATATGTTCATTTATGAATACTTATAAAAACAGAAATTTTAATTCTAACCCTTATCTGCTCATAAAGTAGAGTCAAATTTAACCTGAGATTTAGCTCAGTTGGTAGCGTGCTGAGCTCCAAAGTCGAATTCATGTGTCTAAAAGGCATGTAGTTCAATTCTGCAAAATGCATCTTGGAACCAGTAAAAAAACCTTTCACGAAAGGGATTAGTTCCATCCCAAACCGTGGAGATAACCTTGGGCTTATCAAACAAAGTAGAGTCAAATTTATTTTTATTCTTCTCGCATTGAAAAAATTTATCTCCATATGCAACTCGATGCATATAATACTCGAATATACTCATCTAAAAAAAAATATTTTTGACATCCTTAATAACTATAATTACTATAAAAGTTATGATCATTTTACACTGTATAAATTATGTTTTTTAATCTAAATCTTTAATCTTATTTATATCTAATACCTTTAAATTATTAAATAAGTAAATTATTAGGTACAAATAGATCAATAACTTTAAATATAAAACTTCTTACTCTTTTACTGATATAAGATTATTATGTCCTTTATTATAATTATAATATTTGAACATGAGTTTGGGTTCCCCCTTCACACAATCCTATTGGTTTGTGCAAATAAATCAAAACGTAGTACATCTAACAAAAGGAGGGATTCTGCGTGTTACAAGCGGACAAGCTTGTACTCTGTGTCCAAAAAATTCCACCAAAAGACAGTTCCATCAAAATGTGTTAGGCCCTATATTGCTAATACATTTAACAACTACCCAGAAGAAGAAGAAGAAGAAGAAGAATTAGACCCTATATTGCTAATACATTCAACAACTAGCAACACCAACAACAACAAGAAGACAGTTCCCGCCTATATACCCTATACCCAAAAAATTCCACCAAAAAACAGTTCGATCAAAATGTGTGCTGTACAATTAGGCCCTATATTGCTAATACATTTAACAACTACCATTGTTTTTCAATTAAAGAAGAAGAAAAGCCTATACTCTATGCCCAAAAAATTCCACCAAAAGACAGTTCCATCAAAATGTGTGCTGTACAATTAGGCCCTATATTGCTAATACATTTAACAACAAACATTGTTTTTCAATTAAGAAGAAGAAGAAGAAGAAAACTTCAAGGGTAACGTTACCTCCCAAAGAGGCCCCAAAATGTCAGTTTGAGCTCCATGATTGAAGACCTGAATCAGAAAGGTATTGATGAGAAATCTAGAAGATCAATATATTTCCAACAACGCATGTTCCCGTTTTGAACCCATAAAGTAAACAATTGAAAGGCTACTGGAGCATAGCATTAGAACTGTAGACAAATGACACTGCAGGTTCGTTTAATTTGCTAAAAAATAAGAGATAACACAATAAAAAAGTTATTTTTTTATTGTTAAAAAAACATAAACACTAAACAAATAATATTCAAGGGATAACACAAATATCTAAATTTTTGTTACCCACTAAATACAAAATTTTGTCCGGAGCATAAAGAGAAAAAAAAAAACAATAACTCCTACCCCTTCATCATCCCAGCTCTATAGCATGCAAAGTAATACACAGCATAAATGATCTTATAATAAATTGTGTCATTCTATCAATGAATATCACAAAATCTTTAGTCCTATGCATTAGTCATCAAATAACTAACAACACAAGAAATTATCGTCTGACTCAACTATTTGGGCTGTACAATTCTGTTTGTGTTGTCTCTCAACTTGCATCAAACACAACCTTCCAAGACCGAGAAACAAGTCAAGCACAAAAAGAAGCGAGACAAAAAAAAAAAAAAGAACAGGGAAGGCTAAGGTAAGACCATCCTTTATCACAATCACAGACGCAACCCCTACCAAAAAAGCAACAGTAGCACTGATATTTCCAAAGATTAAATAATATTTCTCCTCATAGATGATATTTCCCACAACCTAAATATGAATATTTATTATTTCAAACAACCTCATTGTGCTTGATCAATGTTGAGAAAATTGAAACCATTCTCTCTTGGTGAACCAGCACAATGTTCAGAACTCAAGCACGGAACCACTTCTATTTCTATTGTCAGTTAATTGAAGTTATAAGAACATAGCCAACTACAAAATATCATAATGATATAACCAGAAACATAGAATTCTTAGAAGCAGGAAGCTAGAACATTCCTCACCTAGATCAACTTGATTTCACGTGAACTTCAATAATATCGTTGTCTTCCATTCCAAGGCTAGCAGGGGTTTCAGACAAACTTACTTTATCACCATCAAAAGACAACACTATCTGTTTCAGGTCACAACTTATTTTCTCGGCATATATTTTGACAATCCTTTCAAACTTGTCATCCTACAGAGAATTAAAAAAGGAGAGCAAGACATTAGGCTAAAAAAAGTAATAGAACTTGTCGCCTGTTTTGGAAATATATTCCATCCAACCTAAAGAGAAATGCACCGAAGAAAGAAAAAATACGCCATATAAGAAACACAACTCTTGTAACATTTCCTACAAATTACACTAGATTTTGAATATTAATATTAAAAACACCACAAAATATAACCGTCAGCTGAAGGAATTATAAACCTTGAACATACGAATCTGCTTTGTTTCATCCTTGCCTTGAAAAGAGATGAGAATCTTTGCTCTTTCAGAAGGTTCTGATGTTTTTTCACTAACATCATCCATGGAAGACGGCAATGAATTACACATTTCCTTTTTTGTAGACTCCTCAACAGTTTTGAACAAATTTTTTGCTGATTCAGTGAATGAGACAAGCTCCTGCTTCTTTAATCTACACACATGAATAACACCTTATTAGAAACTGTAGAGAAAAGGGAGTTGGGGAGGCCGGCAGGGGGAAATTATATGGTAAGTAAAGAATATAAGTAATCGCAGCTGCATAATGCTAATAACAGAAAGCTAATATAACTTCAGATTGGCAAACCAAGAATAGCCTTAATTAGTTCTAATAGACCAAAATCATTTTCTTCCCCCACTGCATAATTTTTTTAATCGGAGCACTGAGCACATATATAAATGCATTAAAATCCTATGTGATGATGACACATTGGAGAATGCAGAAAATTTTTCTAGCTCCAGATGAAATCAAAGTTAATAATTAACTTATATAATTTCATGATCCATTACATATTTTCTTTTGTTTTTTTCATTCTTGGCCTTTTCCACTTTCACCCACAAGACAGAGGTATAGTGGAAGGAAAAAGGAACTAGTGTAAACAGTTACATTTTATCATTGCATTTTCCAGTAGGGCTAAATCAACCATTTATTTTTATTTTTTCAAGAACGAATAAAAGGCTAGCATTAAAACTTAAGTTCGATCATGTTAATGCTCAAGAGAATAATTCCCCATACATCGCCCTCAATACCAAGAAGAAATGGCGCATTTATATGCAATATGCTTATCCTGCTGTATGAGGGTTGGTGCAATCATTTCAAGCTGAGGATAATACAAATTTAAGGGTGGTAAAAAAATTACAATAAAATTTAAGCAACAGAAAACAGCTAGAATTTGGCACTTAAAATTTTCTATGATGAGTAAAAATGCGCGCAACCTCAATTTCTTCAAAGTTGAATCCTCATCAAGCATACTATGTGCATTACTGGAGGTTTTTGGTGGAGGAGGTAACCAATCATCATCCTGGTCCTCAATGTCCACCACTGTTACCGCTTTCACATTAGTCTTCGCATTCTCAACCTAAAACCCACATCGGTTTCAAAAGTTACAAAATCAAAAGCATAAATGTGGGTGCAAATACCAAATAATTTAAAAAAAAAAAAAAAAAAAATGGTGGCAAAACACTCATTACAGGCTGAGAAGTCTTCCTCTTCTTAGCAATGCAAACCACATCCTCATCATCATCTGCTACGATTCATCAACACCAATTAGACATTCAAATACTGCTTAAAACCCTCATCCCCCATAAAATGACAATCTCGATGGGTTAATAAAAGGAAAAAAAACCATTTTTGTAACAATTTGGCTTTCAAATCCTCGGATCTTCGATAAATTGTGGAGAAGATAAATAAAAATAAAAATAAAATAAAAATATAAATAAAAGAAACGAACCATCGAGGCACACGACGCTGGGAGGCTGAACGCGACTGTAATCGAACAAGGGTTCGAATTCTTCGGATTCATCCTGCAAAGAAATCACAGAGGTTTAGATGGCGATTTCGAAAGAAACCCTAATTAAGGTTTCTGATTTCAATTTGGGTCTGAGAGCCTCACCATAACCTTCTTCATCAACTGCCTTTCTCCTTTGAATTTCGATTTCACTGTACCGCTCGAAACTCGAAATTTTGAAGCAAAACTTATCTATTGCGAAACAAGTAATAAGTTTCTTTTTAATAATTCTTTCATCCTTAATATATAATGGGATAGGATACTGGGACACTCAAGTTATGTTACACCCAGTCAATTTCTCACCGTTAGATCGCTTATGTTGATCCAACGGTTATATTTATTTCCATCTTTGTATGGTCATGATTTCCTAAATTTAAAGTGAAAGCATCAAATATGAGAAATCATAACCATACAAAGGTAGAAATAAATATAAAATATTAAATTTGAGAAATCATGACCATACAAATATGGAAATAAATATAACCGTTGATCAACATAAGCGATCTAATGGTGAGATTGACTAGGTGTCACATGGGTGTAACATAACTTGGGTGTCACAATATCCTATCCCATATATAATAGGGGTTTGTATTTATCATGTCAATACACAAAATTTTTTTACACACATAACACCTGTGGCCCGCACTTTTTAAAGCAAAAAAAATAAAATTAAGGCACGTAAAACGAATCTCTATAATATTACACAATCATTTTTCCTACCACATAACTCTTATAAAACCCTATATAATAACTATTTTGCAACGGTAATTTTTTATATCAAATTGAAGAGAACTTTCTGCTCAAGCTAATGAAGGTGCATTTATAATTTGTTATATTTTATAGGGGATTGTTATATTTAACACCAGCTAAAGTTTATCGAAACAAGATCCGTTTACAAATTTTTTTTGCAATTACACTAATGTAGGATCGGTCGTACACTGTGTGATTAATGTAGGACCGATCCTAAATAGTATAATTTGTAAACAAAAAAGTTTGTAAATATAACTTTCTCCAAATTTATCACGGTTTATTAACTATTTGATATCGGTTAGATAATACGACATGACATGATAAAAAGGTAAAGATAGGGGACCCAAGTGTGGTGGCTGAGTTAGTAGCATGGGGACTGAGTGGTAGGAGAGGACCTCGGTTCGAATTCCACCAACACCATTTGGGGAGGGGCATAAGTACCGTAATCCTTGAACTCGCACCCGAACTCTGGATTAGTTCCATAGGCGGCTCAAAGAGTCGAACCCGTGAAGATACCGAGAGAGTTCTGATTCGCCTCAAAGAGGTAATTAGGATCAGTTACCAAAAAAAAGTAAAGATAGGGAGCTGAGGAAGTACTTGAAGTGAGAAATAAAATTTGTATTAAATGATAACGGTTGATTTGATTTTATCTAAAGGTTTTAAGAAAAATAATAAGAAATGTAAACTTAGTTGATACGTAAATATGACCTCTCCCTATTTCATATAGGAAAGAAAAAAAATTATTTGTCGGATCTTTATCATTTTAAATAAAATAATCGTGTTTTAGTACATATTGATTTGATTTTTATATTTTCTCTTTTATAATTTTTTTTTCTCTCTTCTTAATTTTATGGATGAGAAAAAAAAATAAAAAGTAAATAAATATGGGCTTATCTAATCTCATGTTGCATAAGAGAAGAAATCTTATGTTATAGACACATAGTGGTGGGACTGACCATAGTAGTTAAAATTCCGATTTAAATCTTAGATTTTACGATTTTTTTCAATCAAAACGATTGTACCAAAATTTCAAACACTTTTACGATTTTTCTTACGTTAGGATTTTACGTTTTACGATTTTTTATCCTCTTTTTGATTTTAGGTAAAATTTCGATTTTAACTACCATGGGACTGACCACCTAAAAAATAAAAAATATATTGCACGATTACCGAACGATGTGTAGAAAGAAAACTTACCTTATGTGACATGAGAATAAATTTTTCCAATAAATATATACCAAAATATGATTATTTTATTTCAAAATACAAATTGTATACTTTAAAATTATAAATACTTTTTTATTATTGTCTTTTTTTTTCATGCAGTAACTATATAAGTACAATTCTAAATTTATAATTGATATGTCTACCCAAAAAACAATTATAATTGATATGAATATTAGTACACATTGAAAATTAATTTTAAAAGAAGCTTATAATCAAAGAAATTATTTAATTGAAAAGTTCTTTAAATGTAAAATAAATTTTTAGATATATTTAGTAATTTAAAAAAATATAATAGATATATTTATATTCAAGTAATTTAAAAAAATCAAATTAATGGATGTGATTTGATATAAATTCTTTAATTTCTTTTTCCAATTACTTCCTCTGCTTCTTTTGTCCATCATGATGTGCTGGCTACTATCTAAGTATATCTAACTATAATAAAAGTGATAGTAAAAAATAATAAACTTAATTGGTAGTAGGTGAATTATTTTTTTATACTCAAATATCTTTATATGTTTTAAATATATAGTCTTCTCAAACTTAAAATAATATATTTAGATTTTTCTGACAAGGAATATACCTTCAACTAGAATGTTTTTCCTTTTCTGAGAGAAGAGTTCATTTATCACTTTGTTCACCTCCCTTATAGGCAGCATCCGTTAATTTTTTTTGGTGAACTTAAATTTTTTAACTACACACGAGGCATTCATCACTTCATATCATAAAACAGATTTCCTTTTATATCAATATATTTTAGTTTTTAAAGTACTGTACGTGCCTATATAATTTCTTTAAGATTCAGATCCACATCAAAATCACTGATAGGTCTTTTCAAATAAAATTATCACATGAATTTATTATCCTTAATTGCATATTCTGAGAGTCTTTAATGCATTTCGGTCATTTGTGTTCTCTTCAGAGACTTTTAATTACTTTAATACAGAGAATCCATGCAATAACTCTCAAGTCAAAGAGTCAAACTTGTACTTTTGACTCGTCATATAAAAACATATTTCCTCATAAATTAAGTTCAAATGCTTGGGCTCGTTATTATTGCAAAGACTTTAAAATATCCACAAAATAAACCAGGCAAAAGTTAAAAAAAAAAAAAAAAAAAAAAAAACAGTGGAGAATAGCATAACAATCACCATTTTTTTCTCTTTGTAATGTGAAAGTGTGGTTCTCTTTTAGTTTATTAGGTAAAATATAAATATTAAAGAAAAAACCATATATTATTTAAATTATTGAGTGTCATAGTATTTGTACATGTGTAGTGACAAAATTTGATTCGTGTAAAGTTATCCTAAGTACACTGTAAATAAATCAAAATTTGGCATTCTCTCTTGACAAATGGGAATCATGCATGCATTTTGTGAGTAACTTCTTTAAAAGTCTTAGGCTTTCACAATGGTCAACATGTTCAAAAGACTGAATAATTAATTTATTGTAGCATTCAAAAGTGAATAAATACCCTCAAAGTGCTTTTAAATTAATTTTATTTTATTTTATTTGGGGTGGGGGTCTTGGAACTTTAGGTGGTCACCTCAATTGTAACCATAGTTGATGACGCAGCTATTGCAAAATGTTAATACCATAGCCCCTCTTTTCAGAATCCTTAGGCACATTCCAAAAACTTCTTCCTCTGTCTCTTTTCTCTGCGGTCTAATCCTTTGATTGTGTTAATTTCTTTGAACATTTTCTTAGCTCATTCTCTTCAGTTCCTCAGGCTTCTTACCATATCCTGAAAATGGAAGATGAGTCAATGTCACTGATCAATTATGTTCCTAGCTTTGCACGAGGCTATGACCTTCTGCTAGTACATGATAACACAGTGTCTCTCACGTACATCTCATCACTGCTTGAGCAATTCTCATTCAAAGGTGTACTTTGAATTTTTTTTTATTTTTTATTTTTGTATTCTCTTTATGACTTTCCTTCCCCGTCCCCTCTCCTCTCATGTTTTCTGTCATGAACTCATACAAATAAAAAAAAAAAAAAAATTGAGATATAAATTAAAGGTCTAAACTTTAGGATCCAATGATTAAATCTTACTGCAGAAAGAAAAATAGATTCATTTGTAGTGAATTTAGAAATGGCTTTCAAATGATCAAAGTGTGAGACATGTGATGAGGGGGGTGGGTAGCAGGTAATAGGTGCGGTATTCGATTCCTAAGTGTGAGACATGTGATTCTTTAGCATTAGTTTTTCAGGTTTACTTATTAGTAAAAGTCCTTTAATTTTACATTTGTGCCCCTCACCTGTGAAATTCTTTTGGTCATGGCACTATAGCACTGTCAAATAATTAATGATTTACTAATTCTTGTACTGAATCTGATATGTCTTTGTTACTTTGTAGCTTATATGTATAACAGTATTAATTTCTGAAATCTTTGTTATTGACTCAGTAACAGTTTTTTTTCTTTTATTATGTATATTTTTTCATAGCATCTCTTCAATCTGAATGTTTCACTGTATTTGCATTTTCCTTATCTATTATTTATTCATTTAAAGCTCAGCAAAAATTAAAAAAACACCTTCCTCTAACAGTTTCTCTATGACTTTGTACCTATCTTGAGAGAAATTTGTCAATATTCAACGAAGAATCAGGACAAATTTATATTGATCTTAGGAAGCTTAGCCTGCAAGAGTTCATCTTTATAAAAATTTAAATTTAAAAAAGAAAAGAAAAAGAAGATCTGGTGCTATTCCCGTTATTTAATTAATGTAAATAATCGATAGCTGATAAAAAAAATTTGGTTATTCAGTTACTGCTACTTGTAAAGCATCGGAGGCTACATCTATGATTAGTGATTCTGAAGAAGACAGATTCAAACTAATCATAACAAAAGCAAATATGGATGGGAAAGATGCCCTTGCTTTTCTAAATTTAGTTCTTGAAAGGAACATTCCCGTAATCTGTAAGCTCTAGTTCAGATCTTTCAATGAACTTATAATTTTCTCCTAGATTTTTACTCTCACTTAATATATATATATACTTGATTCTATCATGTGCAGTCATCCACTCTGGAGAATTTAATTATGGAAATGAGAGAGCATTAGCACCAGGATCACTTTTTTTCCTTGAGGAACCAATCCGTTTAGAAGATCTCAAATATATATGGCAAAATGTGTATCCCTCAACAGACACAGAAACTCAAAATGCAAACATGCGCAGGAGAAAGAGATCAAGGCATACCAAGAACAAACAGGTGTATATATATATATATATATATATATATATATATATATATATATATATGACTTATCTATGACCATAAAACTCTAAATAAATTACTAAGCATTTGCATTCTAAACTAGTGCTTGCACTTAACAGTTGATAATTAACCACACAATGCCATGCCAGGTTGTTGCACCAAAAGAAAAGAGAAAAGAGAAGAGAAAAGAGAGAAGAAAAGTTGAAAACCACAAAATGCAAGGCACATCGAGTAGCACACAAAAGGTTAAAAGAGAAGAGAAGAAAACAGTTACGAATGAAGATTCATGTAGCTCAGCCCAGATGAACATTCACAACAGTGAGATTGCTGAGGAAAGACGTTCAAATATTTGGAGTCCTGAGCTGCGTCTGAAGTTTATAGAAGCCCTAAGTGAATTAGGAGAGAACGGTACCCTTACTTTTTTCTCTCTCTCTCTCTTCCCTTTTCTTTTATTTTCTTGAACAGCTAGCTATATCAATTATATATGGTATTAAGCTTCATTTTTCATAAGGTAGTTGCTAATTCAATGTAAGTGTACTTTGGTTTCTTTTTTTTTGCATTCAGATGCTCGTCCAAAAGCTATATTAAGGTGGATGAATGAACCTAACCTGACAACTCGCCAGGTTGCAAGTTATATGCAGGTTCTTTTTCTGTACCTTCAACTTAGACAAGCAATAGTTTCTCATAATTATGCTGTACAAATTAGTTTGTTGATTCCTGATGCTAATATATATATAAGGTGTTTGTTAACGTATGCATCGAATTTATCTCACTTAATGAATCTGAATTCTTCCCTTTATATTTGACGTTATTAGGACTGCATGTTCCATAAACACTTTGTTCAAAACCTCACAGGTTTGGTTAAGAATCTAGCTATTGGTGTTTGTGTGCAAATATTTTCATGGTAATACTTAAATGACGAGATCTATGAAAAATTCTTTCCACCTTTAATAACTCATACATTATTAAGAACATAGAAACTACTTATTATATGTATATTAAGCTAGTGGTGTGAAAAATAGACCTGATAGCAAAATCTTATGTTATAGCCTGCCTGTTACCTTTCATTGTCATGTATAATTTTTAGGGGTGTACGCACTAAGTAATAGTTTAAAGAGAACACCGCTATATAAAATTAGGTTGGATATGTGTTCGATTCCCGCTGAATGCATTCTTGGGGAGGGGGCTGAACCTTTAGCCATCACTGTTCCCCCGCACTCCGGATTAGTCCCATAGCCGGCTCAAAAGAGTCGAAGCTCGTGGGGATACCGGAGGGAGCCAACTCGTCTCAAAGAGATAATTAGGGTTGGGTAACTCAAAAAAAAAAAAAAAAGGCAAAAAAACCCAAAAGAAATTATCATCACGTCTCTTTTTCCCATTACTTTAGTTGCATTCTTGATTAATCTTATTTGAATTACATGCATTATTTCCCTTTTGCTTCTTTGTTTACCTTTTTGCTCCACCAATGTTTTTCCTACATATATAGAAATTCAAAGCTCGGCAGAATCGTATCATGAATGGCATCAATTCTGATTTGCCTCCAGAAACAGAAGGTAGTATAGTAGAAGATAAGCTTCCTTTGATTGCAAACTTGCATTTTTGTTAGTCATTACATTTAGAACATAAGAGATTGTTCCATGCAGATGCAGGTCTCCCAGCAACAACTGATTCCTTGAATGAGAGCCAGAATAAGGACCAGTTTCTAGTGAACTACCCTGAAACTGAAGAATCAGAGATTATGAAAATGCTGGAAACACCATGCAACCCAGACTTTATAACTGAATTCACCAACTGTGGAATCCAAGGTGATGGTTTTAAAGACCCTGCTGCTTCAATGAATCAAAACCAACCTGCAACTGAAGACGATGATCTCATAAACATGCTTAAGGAAGATTGCTGGGACAGTATTGATTGGTTTGGAAATGGAACTGATTCAGCTGATGTTTGATATATATGGACAACCCCAACAGATCATAAGGTTTGTCTCTTTATCATATTCCAAATAATATGAGACCTATGAAAGCAAAAATTGTGTACTTTCTCATCATCATAATTATTTCAATTGTTATTGAGACCCTGACATTAAAATTTCTCAATTTTTTTTTCAGGTTCTAAGTGTTTGAAGGATTGACTGGACCTTCACAACGGAAGCATATTTCTGTTATGTAATATTTCTGTTTAAAGTCCCTTAACAGTTGCTGTGCATCGACATTTGTTAAAGGGAATAAGTTCTAGGTTTCCTTTTCTTTTCAAGTAATAGACATTTATAAGTGCCCTATGTGCTTCTTATATTTACTAAATATATAAATAAGGTTTCCTTATATGCCGTTTTCTTTCTTGCTTGTAAACATAAAGACATAATCTTGCGTGAATATTTTATTAAAAGTGCTATGTAATTTCCTCCTATTAGATAAGAATCTGCTAGGTTTGACGTGGAATGATTTCTACGAGTAAAGAACTAAGCTTTGAAAATATATCTTCAAGAAAATTATTAGACCTAGTCACGAATGTGGACCCTGACCTTAAGCACGCCTAGTCCATGCTCTTCTAAGCTCAACAAATGATGCCAAGAAGTATTTATACATCAAACATAATCCCATATATATCGCTAATCATTTACTCTTACATGTAAGCTTTCTTAAAAGTAACTCAATCTTTTAGTCCTTTATTCCTTGAGGAAAAACATATATCATTCTTAACTCCTTTTTTTTTTAATTCTAAATTCAATTTTTTTAATTAATTATACATATCTTCTTAATAATTTTGTACATTTTTTCTTGCATATATTTTTCTTTTCATTTATACTTTTTAAATTTGTTATATGTGAAAATACACATGCAATCAAGAAATACTTTATGTAATCTAAGAGGATTTAAAGCTTCATATCAAATTTGACTCGGAGTTAATTGCAGATTCACGGAATCAAAACTACGCTTAAGCCCATATGATGCAAATTTCAACACGTCCAGCTTGAGTCTTTAGGAGCTCAAGCTGATCCCAAACTCAATTTAGGTAAAAAGAAAGACGAAATAGTGAAATCTTTAACACGTAGACAAGTAGTCTTTTACCAGCATATATAGACACACAATATGAGATGGATATTAAACATTGATAGAAAAAAGAAGAAGAAAAAATACCAAACAATATATGGTTCAAAAAAATAATCATATTTAGCACGAGTTCAATTCACTAAAGATGTACACAACTTCAATTTTTAATATTGGTTATAGGGCCTTTAAACCAATGCCGACCAGTGATTATCCAGTAAGAAACTATAAGAATGAGCAAACATCCAACAGCAACAGGGGTGTAGTTAAGTGTCTGAATGGTTATTGGGTATGAAACAGGCAATGAGAAGAGTATGGCGATGGTCACCACCCAAAGAACTGCAACCCATCCAACAATGACTCCGTAACGACCCAAGTTGAAAGGCCCTGGGACAAAACGCTTTCGTGCCAATGTCACCCTAAAGAAGATTGGTATGGCATAAGCAATGTAGAGGCCAATTGTTGCTATTGACACCATGGCCTCAAATGCCACTATGCTTCCAAGTGACTGCAATATAGAGTTAGAATTGAGTTAGGAACATGGCAAGAATAGAATGATAAGAACTATTGCTAGTGTTGATAACATTGAGCTATGAGCTTGTCTACATTTAAATCACAAATGACAACATAACTAGGGCCTTACTACGTATGTACTAAAAATGATAAAATTGTATTTTATCGGTTGCAAAAGTTTAGAGACCACAAAAAGTTTGCTAAGATCTAAAAAATTCCATTCTTGCAATTTTGGAAAATAATCTATACTTACAGCTTATGATGTAGAATTTGAACCTTGCCACCATATATACATAGTAAGTTCAGTGTAAAACGGTATTCCATTCCATTTCAAGCTTATAGTTATAAAAAAAAAAAAAATGGGCCCCTTACTTCACCACCTCAGACAGAGTTAGAAGATTCTCAAACAAGACATGGGCAGAGCTAAAATTAATAGAACACAAAGATATCTTAGTTACTTTTTGCTGTTGCCAAAGAACATATGAAACATGGTTTTCCACTTTTCAACAAAACAGAAAACACTTAATCTGAAGCTAAATAAAAATTAAATCTTATAATAAAATACATACCGTTAGGGCCATGCAAAATGATATAAAAACGGAAAGCCAAACTGCATATATGGGGACCTCCTGCTTGTTAACTTTATGCCACAATGATGATAATGGCATGGCCCCATCTCTTGAGAAAGCATAAGCCATCCTGTATCAATTTTAAGCCTCATAAGTAACTACAGAAATTAAACCCCTCTCATACGGAAAGCGCACTAAGAGCAGGTATAGTTACCTTGAATTGCTGGTAACTGAACTCATACCACAGAAAAATATGGTAATAGCAACAATTACCAAACAAATAATACCCCCAGTTCCATCGCCATATCTTCTCTTGAATGCAAGATAAAATATTTCAGCAATGGCATACCCACCAGCATCATTATTTTCACTCAAAAGGTAAGGGATGTCAGTGACTGCAAAGGTAATGCCTAGTATGTAACCCCATCCAACAATAATGGATATCCCAACAGCGCTGATAATTCCTTTTGGTCCATTTTTATCAGCATCCTTGGTTTCCTCTGTCTGAAAATAGAAGTATACAGTAAGCAAGCAGGAAGTCTTAGTCTAAACCATTTAGTAACTGTAATACATCAATGCAAAATAAATAGCACAAAATTTTCAAAGTACAAAAGCAAGAGCAACTGAGTAACTCCTAATACTTAAACTGAGCTTATTAACAGAGATTATATGAATTAATCACGAGCAAAATCAGTTCTATCACACCAATTTTGATGTTACTATCTCTAGATCAAGTCATAAGATGGGTCCTACAAGCTTGGGCAATGCTAGTGTTTGTAATTTCACAGAATGAGTTTAAACTGGGCCTAGACCGAGGGGCACAGATCCTGAATTCAAGATCCCCTGCTAGTAAAAGATTCAAAAAAAAAAAAAAAAAGTCAACCTCAACCCCTTGTGCAGTAAATGCAGTTTATTTTTCCTTTTCCTTGTATCTTAAAACAAAGTTCATCATACTTGTATAATTTTTCATTTTACTCCCCAAATTGCGAGGGTAAGGTCGATTGTATATAACCTTATCTTTGCATTTTTGCAAAGAGTTTGTTTCCCGAACTCTAACCTGTGACTTTTCGATTACAAGGAAAAACCTTATCGCTGCTCCAAGCCTCGCCCTCTATTTTACTTCAACAATTTGCTAAAAATTTACAAAAAACGTAACTCATCTGGAATTATCTAAACCTGGACTGGCAGATGAATCAGCAGGCTTTTGGAGCTATGCAAATTGCACCCAGTCCCAAGGTTTAAGCTGATAACAATAATTCACAGGATCAACAATGCATGATTCTTCTTGAGAATCATTCTAAAGGGATCGTGTAAAAGAAGTATATAGTTTATCAGACAAGGAAATTTCTAAAAGCTTTTGAAGGCAACAAATTCTGAGAAAAGGAAGAAAAGATTTACCATATGAGCTGATGCATCATACCCAGTTAGGGTATACTGACTCATTAGAAGTCCCAAGATAAATATATAGGGTTTGCTGCTGATTCCATCCGCATTGTCAGCATTGAAATGAGTGAAAACAAACTTGGCACTGGCCCTTTCCGTGGCAACAGATGGAATGACAATCATAAGCACAAAAACACCTAAAAATTTGTGCATTCTGATTAGAGATCCATAAAGGATTTACCCTGAGACTGAATTTAGAAATAAAATAAAATAGGAAACTTCTACATACCTAAAACATTCCAGATTGCAGCCAACTGTCCTAAGAATGATAACAATGAGATAGGAAGGCTGTTTATTATACCGTGTAGGAGCAAAAGTCCCCCATGAAAAGCAATAACTACATATTTAGATGCCTCATATCCACCACCATTTTTCCCACCAGTACTAAGGAGAATGATAACCTGAATCAGTTGTGCAAGTGAAAAATCTACACTTGTTGTCACTGCCCACTGCAAATATATAAGAAATCAAAAGTTAGAGCTCCAAATGGATTATTAGAAATCTACATCCCACACAAGTTTGACCTTGCAGTGAAAAGTGAAGGATGTTGAAATTCTAAAATATGAGTCTTCTTAAGAATACCTGGCCAACAATATTGAACCTGCAAAAAAAAGAGAAATCATCCAACGCGCATCAGAGAAATAAATGTAGGAAATCGAATATAACAGTGTATCTTATGATTAGATTTGACACGCTAATTAAGCAATAAACTTCATTTTCAAGCGATGTGGCATTAAGGAGAGCTACAAAATTAGATCTTTGTAGCCACTTTGTCCATATGAAATATTGCATCCTGGTTTAAGAGCATTAAATTTTCAAAAAGCTGTTTGAACATTTTACATTGTAAAATTTAGCAGTAAAGAAGGAGGGGAAGATATACTTTAGATTTATGTGCCATATCTTAAATTACAACTTACGTTCAATCTTGTCGTCAATTTTATGATCATAGTACTGAATATTAAATCTCTTAAACATAGTCCAAAATTTTTGTTCAAAATGTTATGTGCATGTTCGTGATTGATGTGGCTTTTTGACAGACACCAGTCTTGCTAAGTATAAATACAACTTGAAAAATGCTAATGGATAAAGTCTTGAGACTATGGGAGATCGAGTGAACAAGGAATTTATCATTAACTTTCTATGACGGATTCAGCTATCAAATATCAATTCTTAGTTAGCACAAGGACATATCTGCTGCACACAAAAATAGTGCGTATTACAATCTTCAAATGTCTCTCCTCTTGTCTGAAAGATCAGATGATGATCCTTCTTTGGCCTATCTTAAGCTTCAAAATAAAATCCTTAAAATACTGTAGTAAATCTGCTATCAATATATTTCCACTCCCTCTAACTTTCAAATCGCCCAAATCTCAACCATTAAAAAATGAAATATTCTGTTGCTCAGTTCACAAGATATGAATTTGTTTACCAGAATGCATGGCACACTCATCTCTAAGATTAATAATAACAAAGGGGAGAATGGCACTTCAAAAAATTTGAATCCAATATCGGGCCCACATATGATCTTTATATAAACTTCAATATTGCATGCTCATAAATAAACAATAGTTGCCAATCATGCAAATAAATACATGGCCTACAGACCTACACGTTATCAAAGATTTCACATGAAAAGTCTAAAGATATCCCTTCCCCTCTATGTGCAAAGTCCCCCCCGCATTTATAGCCACTTCTTAGCATATCTTGAATAATGCATACAAAAATCTTTTAGATGAAAATGTTAACCAGGGACCATAGCGTGATATGATAAGGTATAAAATAAAAAGGAAATAAGTAATAGAATTTTGTTTATCTCAATAAAATATTACAAATCTTATTTAAAGGACAGTGCATAGAATATTATTTATTTATATATTTAACCCCCCTTACAATCTTCCTAATTACTAAATTAATAAAGTATTACATGTTATTTTTTTTATGTTCCGAATATATGCATTTAATTTTTTCATTTAAGTATTTGAAAGATTCAGGCACCAATTAATGGTAGGTGAATACTGCCTGCCAAACACCAATTAATACATCAGATTCAGACACAAACACCAATTTTTTTCTTTCTAATATTAATCCTATAGAATCAAATAGGCCAGCAAGGAGTTGAATAGAGTACCAGCCAGTAATCCAGGAGGCAAAGGGTGCCCATCCCGGGCCAGCAAGCTTGGCACTCCAATAGTAAAGACCACCAGAAGTTGGGTAAGATGAACAAATTTCAGCCATTGACAGTGCAACAATCATGGTGAAAGCAGAAGCTATAAACCACCCATATACCATTGAAACCGGGCCACCATAGTTCAGCCCAGTGTTGTAAAGGGTGGTGACTCCAGTGACGACTGATATAATAGAAAATGAAAATGCAAAATTTGAGATTACCCTGCAATTGGCAAAAAGAGTAAGGAAACAAAAAGACAACGCCAACTCCAATGGAAAAGAGAAACCAACGACAGAAAAAGGAAAAAAGGAATGAACTTTACGAAAGATCACGCTTGAGCTCTTGTTTGTAACCGAGCTCGTGAAGACGGGCATGGCCAGAATCAAGTGGAGCGCCGTCATTAGTATCGACCACGTGAGATGAGAGTGTCATGTTTTGTTTGCCAGAACAGAACAGAACAGAACCAATGAATAAGAGAAACAGAGAAGCAATTAAATTAAAGGGATTCGACTTTTGTTATTGCAACCAAGAGAACGAATCCCAATGGAGAGAGAGAGAGAGAGATGAAGAAGAAGAATTGGACTTGCAAAATTTGAGTGATAATAATTGGATTCAACATAAATAACTTGTTGTCTTCCTCCTTTTCAGGAGTCCCCTGATTTTTTTTATTTATTATTTATTTATTTTTGTCTAACTCGTTGTTGAATGTTGATTCCAACGCTTTAACTAATTTTTTTAAAATGATGTGAGGTGTAAACACACACAGTAAGTCTGAACATGGGAATTGCTGGTTGAATCTATTCGATTTATATATATATATATATATATATATATGAAAAAACTTTTTTGATGTTATTTTAGATAACTTTATTTAAATTTTATCTAATGTTCATCGAAACGATGTCGTTTTGGGTTGAAAAGTTAAAAATTGAAAATGATAAAGACTATTATAATCCTGAAATAAATTAAAATTACAAAAATACCATGATTTCTGCCCCAAAATGAAGTCATTTTGATGAACATTAGATAAAGTAACTTTAGAAAAAATAAATCATATATATATATATATATATATATATATATATATATATATATAACAAAATGAGATATTGCAGATAGAGAAGGAGGGAGACTTTACTTGAAAACAAATTTTTAATTGATTAGATTTATAATCTGTGACATATTTATTTTTACAACCGTTTTTATTGTTTTAAGAGAAAAAATATAGGATAGATCAATGGATTTAAATGTAATATTACTTAATAAGTAATATAATTTTTTTTTTATTCTAATTGTATAGAATATTAATAAAATAGAACAAAATTGGTATATATATGTGTGTGTGTTACCCATATATTAATTCATAGGGAAATTTGTAAAGGTAAGAAAATTCCTGACTTATATAATGAAATGCAAATACCTGCGGCTTTAGTTTTTATTTTGAGACAGAGTTTAGAAGAATATTTAAAATGACTTTCGAAGCTCAAAACAAGGACATGAAACTTTGATGCTTAGTCAAAGAAGGCGGTGCAACTATCAACTTGACAAATGCTTTCCTCATGGCGAGGAATATTTATAAATTTTGATGCTTAGAATCTTGATAATCAACTAAAGAAATTAAAATAGCATGTAGCCGGAGAAGAAATTTTTTTCCATTTGACCCTTATTATATCTTTTTCTCTCTCTGTGGCGTAAGATAATATTTTTTTTTGTAATAGGAGAAGTATAGATCCTTTCATTTAAAGAGTGTGATTCTTTACTACTATCAACTAAAAGTTTACTATTGAATTCAAACGAAAAAATAGATAAATAAAAACCAGAAGAGTAGTGTTATGGACCCATTTAATGAGCCCATTAAGTGGTAAGTCCAACCAAAGACAATCTAAGATACGTATTGATATTAACAAATGATAGATATTCATCAAGGATACTAATCCTAATACGACAGCATAGCAAACAGGCCTAGACCCTCATCAGAGGTACCAAAGGCCCATTCACACTACCCATAGGTAACCTCTATAAATACAAGGTAAATCTTAAAGGTACGTTACGCTCTCTCTCTTACTATGCTGTCACTGTGCGCACACACACCTCATTGGCTAACGCCGTTATAATATTTTGTGCACAGTGATCTGCTTGACTCAAGGATATCTCATTCATAGATACCTTAGAGAAGACACTATCCAAAATCGACACACCAGCTTACTGGGCTGGACATCTCTGTAGTCTTTTCATCTCAGGACTCATTTACTTTTATTCAGTTTCCTTTTTACCTTTTCTAACTTCTTATCTTTAATTGACTATTATAGTTAGTGAACTGTTTGTGTACGAGATTAGATCTGTTTTTTCATAAAGGTAATAGTATATTAATATAATAACTAGTGAGGCAAAGGTATAAAATAACCTCAACTGGAAGTCACCTTAAGTGGCTCTTAGGCAAAGACTGAAAATTAGGTGAAATCTGAGGAATGTTAGATCGGTGGCAAAATTTTGTCATAGTTTTTCAGCAAGGAGAAGCAGTATGCAAAATAGGCACCTTCAATAGAGAAGATGAGTATTTATTTATAAGCGAGAGAATATTCCCTTAATAGGAGATAGAGAGCTTGACCGCTTCTGTCCCACTCCCAGTGGTTTCACTAGATGTGAGGTAAATATTCTCACCTAATAATAATATATATGAAGAACCGAAATCAATGGGTTAGGCGCGTTGCTGCACGCGCGCGAAATTTTCTGTTCTGATAGGGTTTCTTTTCTTGCTAATTTCCGTTTTGCTGGTGCGATGGGGGATCCGATGGAGAGTAGCTCGGAGTTGTTGACTATGCTTAGAAAGAGTACAAAGCGAACCAAAAGCGGTGTTGAAGTTTCGACGGAGGCTCGTATGAGAAATGTGATCAGAGAGTTTCAAGCTAGCGATGTTGTTCATGAGAAACAGCGAACGTTTGCTGATGTTATAGGGATGGAGAATGGTGTCTCGGGCGAGACCATTCCATGGCTGACCGAAGAAGAGGAACTTGATCCGGAGCTTCTTGACCCGAGTCTTGGTGAGATCTCAGAATGGGGCTTTCAAACTATCTTCAGGGAAGATGGAACTGTGGAGATCAGGAGTAACAAGGAGGCTCGAACCAGAATGAGGCAACGTTGGAAAAATGCCTTGATTGTAAAGCTTTTGGGGAAGAAAATTGGTGTGGGATTCATGAAGAAGAAGCTGGAGACGCTTTGGGCGAGAACTGGGAATGAGGCAACGTTGAATTAATAAAGTATTACATGTTATTTTTTTATGTTCCGAATATATGCATTTAATTTTTTTCATTTAAGTATTTGAAAGATTCAGGCACCAATTAATGGTAGGTGAATACTGCCTGCCAAACACCAATTAATACATCAGATTCAGACACAAACACCAATTTTTTTCTTTCTAATATTAATCCTAAAGAATCAAATAGGCCAGCAAGGAGTTGAATAGAGTACCAGCCAGTAATCCAGGAGGCAAAGGGTGCCCATCCCGGGCCAGCAAGCTTGGCGCTCCAATAGTAAAGACCACCAGAAGTTGGGTAAGATGAACAAATTTCAGCCATTGACAGTGCAACAATCATGGTGAAAGCAGAAGCTATAAACCACCCATATACCATTGAAACCGGGCCACCATAGTTCAGCCCAGTGTTGTAAAGGGTGGTGACTCCAGTGACGACTGATATAATAGAAAATGAAAATGCAAAATTTGAGATGACCCTGCAATTGACAAAGAGAGTAAGGAAACAAAAAGACAACACCAACTCCAATGGAAAAGAGAAACCAACAACAGAAAAAGGAAAAAAGGAATGAACTTTACGAAAGATCACGCTTGAGCTCTTGTTTGTAACCGAGCTCGTGAAGGCGGGCATGGCCAGAATCAAGTGGAGCGCCGTCATTAGTATCGACCAAGTGAGATGCGAGTGTCATGTTTTGTTTGACAGAACAGAACAGAACCAATGAATAAGAGAAACAGAGAAGCAATTAAATTAAAGGGATTCGACTTTGGTTATTGCAACCAAGAGAACGAATCCCTATGGAGAGACAGAGATGAAGAAGAAGAATTGGACTTGCGATATTTGAGTGATAATAATTGCCAACATAAATAACTTGTTGTCTTCCTCCTTTTCAGGAGTCCCCTGATTTTTTTATTTATTATTTATTTATTTTTGTCTAAGTCGTTGTTGAACGTTGATTCCAACGATTTAATTAATTTTAAAAATTATGTGAGGGATAAACAGTCTGAATGAACATGGGAATTGGGTTGACGAAGGTGTATTGTTGGCGAGTAGAAATTTAACGGGCATGTTTGAAGTTTTTTCGAAAATAACTTATTTTATAAAAATTTAATTTTTATTTTATTTTTAGAATCACATTTAGAAAATGTATCTAAATTATTTTTATTTTATGTTTTCACTTTTAACTTACAAAAATAAATATAGAAAACACATATTTAATTAATTATTCTACAAAATAGTTTTAAGAACAAAAAAACTAGAATACAATCAAACACAACCTACATTTTTAAGTCTTTGTGTGCTAATTTTTTTTTTTTAAAAGTCTTTTCTTTCTTAATTGTTTCCATCTTTTGCTATTTGAATCGACTCGATTTACGTCTGTGTGTGTATATATTAAGGAACGAAAAGAGAAATTGCAAATAGAGAAGGAGGGAGACTTGAATTGAAAAGAAAATTTTAATTGTTTATAATTAATTAATTTTGTAATCGGTGGAGGGATATGTATTTTATAACCCTTTATATCTTTTAAAAGATAAATGAAATTATTCAATAATAAAATTTAAAACAAGACAACTAATATAACTAATAAAATAACTCTACCTTAATTAATCCGAGTTATAACAACCGATAAGATAATAGATAATGCTTGATATATATGTAAAGGATTTCTCCGGTCAATAGAGATAAGTTATCTTCAGTGAGTGCAAAATGACTTCATTTTGGGATGAAAATCAATGTGTTTTTGTAATTCTAATATATTACAGGGTTATATTAGTCTTTATTATTATAATTTTTTTAATCTTATAACTCCAAAACGATATCGTTTTCAGCTAAGATAACTTTGACAATTTTATCTCCGGAGAAATACTTTTCTCATTGACTTCTTTTAAATTGAGATTTTGAAACAAATTGTTTTCATCTTTGTTGAATAAATCATCCCACAGAATGAAAATTTCATATATGTAAAAAATTAATTCAATATAAAAAGTAAATTATTAAATTAAAATAAATTAATAATTGTGTATTTTATATTTAAAAAAATTTGAGATTTTGAAACAAATTGTTTTCATCTTTGTTGATTGAATCGTACCACAGAATGAAAATTTCATATATGTAAAATATTAATTCAATATAAAAAGTAAATTATTAAATTAAAATAAATTAATAATTGTATATTTTATATTTAAAAAATTTGAGTTTTTGAAACAAATTGTTTTCATCTTTGTAGATTGAATCGTACCACAGAATGAAAATTTCATATA